AAAAACAATTCGATCATGGATTACAAAAAAAAAAAACAATTCGATCATGGATTACAAAAAAATCGATCAAGTATTACAAAAAAATCTATCATGGATTACCAAAAAAAAAAAAAAAACGGCGAGTCACTGTACAGAATCGTTCGGTTCTCTAGAACCGGACAATTCCCGTTTTTTCGTCGATTCGATCCGTCCATGGCGATTCCCGAGTTGAACCGGACGAGTCCAGTTCGACTCGGCGTTTTTTTAAACACTGGTTACAACCTTATAGAAACCGCACCCTTTGAATAATTGGGTATTCATACTATCATCAAAATACTTCTTTCTTCATCTGAAAAATGGGAAAAGTCTCTATCCTACTTCAAAATCGATTGCACCGAGAGACTCTTCTTTGTTTTATCAATACTAGGTTTGAGAGTGGTTCTATATAAATGCTACTATTTACTTATTCGACATTTTCAGACTAAAACCCACCATTTTCTCTATCTCATTATCAAAAACTCAGGAAAACCACATTTGAAATTGTATTATTTTAAAATACAACATAGTATTTTTAAAAACCCAAAAATACCTTTTTCTTTTGTTGGTCGATGGTTCTCTTTTTTCTAGAAGGTGGTCCTTCATGTATGTATTCTACTTTTTGAGGTATGAATTCCTAACTATAGCTTGAGTTTCATATATTATTTTGCTTAATCAAATAAAGAAGGAGAGAGGAGGGCTTCCAATAAGACCAACCCAACAACAAAAACGCCATTCCTGATCTGGTCCAACAAGACAGCTCCTCACACTGTAAGACACTCAAAAACCATTTTTGAGGTGGGGGGGGGGTCACCACTTTTTGGTCCTCTTTGAACAAGCACTAGCATTTTCTTTTCCAATGGATAGTCGAATCTCCATACCATCTCAAAATTATTTGAATGATCCTTTATATTTAAATTATTAATATGCAAAAGTGGAAGACTCAAAATTATTTGAATGATCCTTTATATTTAAATTATTAATATGCAAAAGTGGAAGATATTTTTCCTGGGTGAGCATTTTATACTTCCCCAACAACATAGAAATTCTGTCCTTCCCGTTATCCAATTGTCTATTATGAATGCAGGGTTAAGATTGTCCCAATCTTAATGTCACGTATCTACACTATTTTATTTTTAATTTTTTTTATAAACTATTTTGACACCAAATTCTGGACATTCATTCCTATATTAACGTCGCACTAGCGAAAAATATAAAAAAAGTATTTTCAATAAAATAAAATGACCAAAATACCTTTAAAAGTTTAAAAAGGTATTTTGTTCATTATATTTTATCGAAAAATTATTTTTAATATTTTTTATAGGTGCGACCCAATGAGAAGATGGTACGTACCAAATTTTATATTCATATAATTTGTATAAAAAAAAACTAAAAATAAAATACTTCGAGACGTCAGATCTAAGATAAAACGGTGAGTGATCAAAATTGGACGGCTGGATGGTAGGGTGAGGATAGAACTTCTATGCATTAAGGGAAGCATAAAAACCTTTCCCATTTCCCCTTGCCAAAAGATATTATATTCCTACACGAGTATTATCATTATTATTGAAAATTTTTGGCAAAGTTTTACATAGGCTGCTTGTGTACTACAATCCACCTCCTTTACTCGAGCTTGTGGTGAGTTATGGAAAAGTTTAAAGTCCCTTCTTAGACCATATACTCCTATAAAAGTATATTGCCCATTAACTTCCTAAGATAAAATCCCAACTAGTTTAAATGTTAGGACCCCAAATTTGGAGATGATCTTACAATAAAGTACTCGTTGTCTCAAGATATATTTTGACCTCTATCTATCATCTTTCGATTATGAAAAAAAAAAAGATTTACCTCAGTAAAAAAGATTTTATGATTATACTTTCTATGCACTTAAAAAAATAATGTCTCGAGATTGAATAGAGACCATCCAATTTTTAGATGGTGAGATATAAGTATTAGAAAACTCAAATTACAATTATTTTCATCTAGTAATTCTAAATGGTTCCCAAAATCCCCCCAAGTAGGACTTTTGAGTTTTGATTGAGGGAGTAAAAGTAAACTATGCTCCCGGGGGAGCATAATGTACATGCTATTTTCCCATTTCAAATCTACAAAAAAAGAAAAGAAAAGAAGAAGCTACAATCAAGAGAATTTGAAAGTAAACTAATGCAGACATGATTAAGCCATAAATTGCTATTTTCACCTATTTATTATTATTATTAAAATTTGTGCACAATGTCACCATCATAAACACCTCAACCATTCAACCCCAAGCCCAAGTGGCATTCTAATTGAATTTTATTTTGTAAAATACCATTCTATTTTCTGGACATAACCAAGTAATTCTGCTTATTTATTTGCAGGTCATTTACAAACAATCTATTTTTCCTTAAAAAAGAAAAATGCTTTTAAAACAATAAAAATTAAAAGCAAAAGAATTAGGGAAACTGCCAAATCTCTAGGGAAATTGGATGTGGACGGCTGAGATTTGTCAACGAGCTTGAGGGCTTGCGACATCGTCGGTAGCGCAGGAATCGCACCTTTCGCCGTCGTGCTAATCGCGCCGCAGGCATTTGCAAATCGAAGAGCATCTCTCACTCTAATTTCATCCTAAGAGAAAAAGGAAAATTAAAATGAATGTTAGGTATGAAAAAATTATAAGAGACCAATGTAGGGATATGTGTTTGATAGTATGATGTGGTTGGAGATTTATGGTCTTTTACAGCTTTCCTTTTATGGAGTAGAAGGCATAGATTATTCCAGGGAAAATGCCCAAGGTTTGGCTTGGCCGGGTCGGGCCTCGACCGAGGCCACCATAGGGCCGGCCCTAGGGCCGAGAATTTTTTAGATGGGGACCGCATCCACCCAGATTTGGATCCGGATATAAAAAATATACATCGGATACGGATCTTCGGATCCGATTGTATCCAGAATCTTCGGCTCCAAATCTGGATCCGAAACTTTATATAGGATCTAGATCGAGATCAATTCCAATTTTATATATTATCATGTCAAAATATAATCATTTAAATTAATTATATTATATATATAATTAATAATATATAATTTTTTTAAAAAGATTGGGTTGGTATGGATCAAATCCATTATACCGAATCCGACCTGTATTACTATCCGGATACGGATTTTAGATCCAGATCCGAATTTCATATCCAAATCTAGATCCATACCCGGATCTGAATAAGATCCAAATTGTGGATTTCAGATCCAAATCGGATAAATTCTAAGCACTAGTCAACCATATGTTTTCCTTATGCTTTATTTATTTATTTAATTGTCTTTGAGCTTACAACCTAGTCTGGCTGGGCTACGGTATGTCCAGCCAAGCTCGGCCCATTGCCAGTCCTGTTGCTTGTCTAATCACATAATCATTTTGGGATGCTTTAAATATACTAATTATTGTTATATAAAACTCTCCAACTTCCCACAAACTTTGATAAAGTGAAATTAGGACTGATTGAAATTGAACATGATAATTAATGGACCTGAATGAGAGAGAAATCATCGGCGAGCTTAACCAAGAAACCCCCTACAAAGGCATCACCAGCCCCTGTTGTGTCCACACTCTTCACTGAAAAACCATCCACTTTCCCTTTGAAATTCTGTAGAAAGTAATAAGAAAATATAAACAAAGAAATATAAGCAATACAAAGTGTAATTCATCTACTAAGCTTACTAAAATAGATATTTTTTTTAAAAAAAATTTTCGTATAGAACCTCAATTCTTCATATTATTTCATGGTATACTTTCTTTCTGTTTTTTTTTCAAGCGGTATAAAAAAATCTTAAAGGATTTCACCATACTCCATCATCTCTTATCTCTCTATTTTATTGCATTTTGACCATAAAAATTAGCCCAAACAAATCTTTTTATACCATTTCACCTCAAAAAAAAAATTAATGCTTTTTTTTCCTTTCCACCTATTAAAAAAGTTTTTGAGTTGAAACGGTATAAAAATATTTGTTAGGGTTAATTTTTAAGATAAAAAGTTAATAAAAGAGAGAAATAAGATATGGGACGGTATAGTGAAATATTTAAGGGTTTTTTCATACCACTTGAAAGAAAAACATAATGAAGGTCTATCATGAAATAATACGAGGAATTTATATTTAGATGTTGCCTTATTTTTGGTAGCATTTAATTTTTATGGATAATGATCAAGAGGAATAATATCCGTCTTCGATGATCTGGATATTAGAAGTTGTTTATCTTTTATTTTGAATGTCAAAACGGGACCCATTGACAAACCTTTCATGATAAATGGATTACATTCTTTACCTTGTACTGTGAATAATAGCGTGTCAAACTGATATACCACTCATTTAAATGCAAAGTAAGGCAATTTAGTATTGCAACTGAAAAGGTTAACATCCATACAATACATTTATTGCATGCATCAATGCCTCAAGCCAATCAAGCCCAAGCCCAACTACAAGAAGTCACATCTTCTATCCAAAATAACATTTTATTTTCTAAAACATAACCAAGTACTTCTACCTTAAACAATCAAAATAAGGAGTACCGCCAAATTTTATCATAAGATGTAATTTTGGTGTAAAAAACTCTTAGGATGGCAGGAGAATCCATTTTAATTTCTAATTATAAAAAATTTAGATTAGTTAAAATCAAGTAGATCTATAAATAAATAAAAATCTTGAACATGGACAGTTCAGATCATTTGTTGCAAAATACTATTTTTGAGACTCGAATTTATTTATTTTTTGTTCATATTCATACATTTTGATGTCGTGATGATCGATAAGAGGATTTTCCAATTACAAGACAACCTTGTACGAAGGCTTTTTTAGATGCACCTGAATTCCATATTTTAAAGTTGCAACCTTATATCCCTCTCTTAAACCAATGGTTAGGATTCTCTCTTTTATCAATACAAGTGACTCACTAGTGAAGTAAGGAAGGGAAGGAGAAAGAATAAGAAGAACCTTAGTGAAATATCTGCAACCCTTTGGTCCATCAGTTACTACAAGCAATTTGAGGTCATTGTGCCACAATCCCATGACCACCTCTTCATTTTGTGGGTCTCCATTTGTGAGAAACTCAACTTCTTCCTCGCTAACCTGCAACAATAATCCATTTACGATAGGGCTGGCAGTGGGCCGAGTGGCTTGGCCCGGTTGCCCGGACCTTAAAAAGTAGGGTCTGGGCCACAAAAAAAATGGCCCCGGGGAATGGGGCGAGCTAGGGCCAGGGCTATGATAGAGATGGCCCGGTTTGGCCTGGTCCGATCCTCTTTTCTCTTGGATTTCTTTTAGTTTTTGTCATTTGTTTTTGGCCCAGTCCAGCCATGATAGGGCAAGGGCCGGGCCTATTTGGCTCGGGCCAAGCTTGGACCAGCCCTATGGGGACAACAGCCAGGGTAGGCCCAATTTACGAGATATCATGAAGAAAAGCTCCAAAAAAAAAAAAAAAGAAAAAAGAAAAGAAAGAAAAACATCATTCATTTGATGAAGAAATCAGCTTCCCCACCCCCCTCCCCCCCCCCCTCCCCCCCCCCAAAACCCCCAACCGGGCCCTGTTCTAGCTGGGCCAGGCCTAAAACATTCAAAGAAATATAGGAAAAAAAAAATAAAAAATAAAAAAATGGGTTGGACAGGACCGGCCCAGGCCAGGCCAATTGTGGTTTTGGCCCGGCCCTCGGGGCATAGTGGCTCAGTCCTCGGGTCATGGTGGCTCGGCCTTGATCTGACTCTTAGGCCACATTTTGTGGCCCAAGCCCTAGTTTTTTATACCAAGACCATTCCTAAACACTTATAGCCATTCCTAAACACTTATAGCAAGGTTAAACCCCAATCAACCTAACCAAAGACTCCATTGTTTAGAAAGAGAGAGTGATCTATACATTGATAAAGTCTGCTTGTTCCCATATACTTAAGATCCCCTCTCTAGCAGCATCAGGAGAAGGCCAAAGATGCAACCTGCGATAAATATTTTGATCGATTAGGGACGTTTTAGGGCTAACCAGTAAGAAGCACGAGCATTGAAAGTGATAAAAAAGCATCTATCATTAAATATAAAGACAATATTTTCTAGATACAAAAATATAAAAGAAAAAGTAAGGCAAAAAAATCAGCATAGTGATTATTTTAATTTAAATTACTAATAGAAAAATTCACTAAGTTTGTGCAGTGGTAATACTCAGCACAGTTAAAATATATCCTAAAAGAAATCATGAAGTTTTTTGTTAATATTTAAGAAACATAATTAAAATATTGTAACCCACAAATAATTTTCATAAATAAATTAATTGAAAGAGAAACTCCCTCCCTCTCTCCCTCCCCACATAATTCTCTCTCTCTCTTCGCGGTTTGGGAGTCTCTCTCTATATCCACAAAACTTTCCCCTCTCTATCTCATTTAAGATGGAATATGAACGTTTTTTCTCTAATCTTTTTTTAAAAGTATATATTTTAATTTTATCTTTTTCAATTTCATCTTTTTTATTGTTCTATCCCCATAACTCTCTATCTGTCTCATAGTTTAGGAGTTCTCTATCTCTCTCCCTTCTATGGCATCTCTCTCTTTCTCAATATTTTAGGATTGACGTGACTCTCTCTAACAATGAAAGATCTCTCTTATATAGCGTCTTTCTAAATTTTAGGATCTCTCTCTTCAACAGTTTCTTTTTAAATTTGGTTATGGTTTAGGGCCTCGGCCTAAACCATCAAAGTAAGGCGCGCCTTCAAAAGTGTCGAAAGATTTTATTTTAGTACTGGATATCTTTGTGATGACTTGAAAATTTATTTTTATATCCAATTGTAAACTTTAAAGCTTCAAAAATAGTGTAGATCGAGCGTATTAATGAATAATTCTTGAAAGTTGACAGTCAAAAAATGCATTACAAGTTGAAATTGACGGTCCAAAAATACATTACAAGATGTATTATTTCCAAGATTTAAAATCCATTTTTTTTCCATGTCCATACATCTTGAGGTTGAGATAATCAATTTGGGGTTTTTTGAGCATTGAAACAACATCTTATAGTGGATTTTTGAGGTTCAATTTGATTGTTTAGAGCCTCACCCTTATATAAACTTTTTCTTTTAAATTTGAGGAAATCTCTCCTTAATAGTTCTTTTCTAGTAGTATAGATAAAACTTTCATCCTATCTATGTAGATGAATGCATCTAAGATTGTGTATCATTACTTGTACATCAATTTTGGAAAAGTAATGAATGATACGTTAACTTCAAAAAACAGAAAAGAAAAAGAAAATAAAAATTATGTATCATTGGTTAAAAAATATGAATATTTTTTAAAATTTTTTTAAAAATTATTTGTGGGTAATTTAGCAGCAGGCTTTAGGCTCAGGACTCGCTATCATCGGCAACTTACCCAATTGAAACGGGAGAAATATACTTTGAGACATGTATGGTATCAACAATATGATACCTGCCATCTCTATTGTCCACGCTAAAAAAATGAACAGTTGAGATGATCCATTCTCTTGCTCAAGGAGAGAATAGCTCCACATCATATGTTGTTCAGCACATAATTATCAAGATTGGTCCGTAATCCAACCGTTCGGGCCGGTCGGGTCCAAGGTAATACCAGGTTGGTCGAAAACCAATTGGTTTTGACCTGTGAAACTGGCTGATTGGATCAGTCAGTTTTAACCAGTTCTACCAGCTAAATGAAGTTGAACAAATTTTTTGATAATAGTTTTTATTTTAAAACTATTATGTTATTATTATTATTATTATTTTAATTAGAATATTTGAACAGTAGTTGGACAGTTTTGATTAGACCAAATCCCTTATCAATTCAATGACTGATCCGATCATGGTAACATTGGTTTAGCATGGACGGTAGAGAAAACATGTAGCATACTACACCATACATACTAAACAATCCCAACACCCGTACCCAGACGGGAAGAGAGAGAGAGAGAGAGAGAGAGATCTATGTGTAACCTGACATTCGGATTATAAGATAGGAAGATCCCAGCTTCCTTTGCAGCTTTCATGGCAGCTAGGTGGGCAGATCGGCAAGGTTCAGAGATGAGACTTATTGAGCCAAAATGAAAGATCCTTCCCTCTCTAATGAGGTCTAGGTCTAAATCGGACACCTTAAGTAGCATATCAGCACTTGGGTTTCTATAGAAGGTGAACTCCCTTTGTCCATCTTTCTTAAGAGTCACAAATGCTAGGGCTGTTCTAGCTTCTTCATCAAAACGTACACCCTTCACTTCAACCCCATTCTCTCTCAAGATTCTCACCAACATGTGACCAAAGTCGTCGTTCCCAAGCTGTAAAGAAAATGACAATTGAGGTTGTTGGGGGTCTGATCTAGTCAAAACTAGTGCAGTATTGACCGAATTGATTGTTTTAAAATTTTGAAAAGTAAAAAATAAATATAAAAATGAATAAAACTATGAAATAAATTTAAAAAACACTTGCCTAAATTTGTTTTGGTAGTCGCACCAGTCCAAATTACCAGCTTGACAAGTCAAAATTAGATAAACATTTGTTTTGATTGATTTTTAATGACACCCAATTTTTCACCTTGAACTAGACTTGTTAAGATGCCAATCAAACTAGTTGGATAAGCTAATTTTGTCTAGTCGTGATACGATGGATTATATTTGCTATCATGTAATTGTGATATTTGTTAGTGTGTACAAGTTTTGGATATCATATATCTTCTTCCACTTAACATACTAATGGAATTAAAGGGGAAGTAGTATAAGATAGCTACAAGACTAGCCATGCTTTATGAGATAAAATGTTGGGCTGTCAAAAAATAAGATATCCATAGGATGAGTGTAGCTGAAATGAGCATGTCAAGATGGATGAGTGGCAATATAAGAAATGGTAGGAATGATCATATTCAAGGGAATTTAGGTATATTGTTTTAAAAAGTAGACCCCTTAGCGCCTTGGCGGCTGCTTAAGCAGTCCAGGCCTAGGTGCCCAAATTAGACGAGTTGTCCCTGAGCGCCCGCCTAGGCACCAGGGGACTGACGCCTAGGTGGGCGCCCAAGTGGCTGCCCAAGGGGGAAATGCCCCTCGTTGTTTCTTTTAATATAGAATGATCAAAATCGTGGGTTTTAGGTTCAGTTAAACCTAATCTCAATTAGAACCTATTTTAGAGAGAGATAATTTAAAAAAAACTAGTTTTTGGTAATTTCCATAAGATAAAAAATTTATCAAAGTTACGAGAAATTGATCTAAGCATCACCCATTAATATTAGTTTTGGTTTTGGATGTTTTATAAATCTATTAAAAGTGTTTTTAGAAGATTTTGAGTCCTTAGAAATATCTTAGAGGGGAAAGTTTGGAAATCAAGCAATCAAAGTTAGTGAATTAATTTTTTTGATTGCTTGCATTATTTTGAAATGTTTTATTCGGGATCTAATTGAAGTGGTGATTCTGGTTGAAAATATAAGTACAACTCGAATGCTTTGGATAAAAATTGCATAATTGTAAGTTTTATGAAAATGATACAAATGCGTGCATAAACTGATTCAAGAAACATCTTGTGTACTATACATTTGATTTGCCCTAAATCCCTAACTCTTATGTGTTATATAGTTATGCTTATATTGTTAGACTATAGAGACATTTTTCTTTCTATTGGGCCTTCTAGGTTCTAAGCGCCCACCTAAACCCTCCCTATCACCTAGGCACTGCTTAGTGTTTTTTAAAACACTTGGCTTCAATAGACAATAATATGACATACGTGGGGATGAAGTAGACTTAGGTGGGCTAGCAATGTACAATATAGGCATAATTTAACACCGGTTAGGATGAGTGATTTGGTTCTAGTAGAAGGCTCTAAAAGGATATGGGGAATATTGGATTTGGTGCTATCCAAAATTACCAACATAAGGAAATCCCATATTTTATGGTATTGATATTAAAATTGATAAGTTTCCTAAATAAAATAAAAGTCTAAAAAGATTAGGACTCTTGGGTATATCTCTTTAATTTTTAAGATATATGTAACATCTATATGAAATTTCTTATTTTGTATGAATTCCTAATCTTATATATATAGGATGAAAGTAAATAGAATTTTTGTGCACCTATTTGGGCCACCATATAGACAAGGGGAATTCCTCTAGAGAGAGAAGGGAGCAAGGCTGCATAAGATGCAAGGTTTTATCTTAGAGAAAAGAGAACTTCTCATGGAGAGGAACATTGTGATGGTGTCTCTAGAAAGAAAGGGGCAAAGCCTCATGTGTATAAGATCTTATTTTTCCTCTTAGAGAGAAGAGAACTGCTTATAGAGAAAAACATTGTGACGGTACTTCTTATAGACTACTGGAGATTGAGAGGCTTTTTTCTTATAGAGAAGTGTTTCTTATTGAAATTTTGGGTGGTTTCCCCTTTTAATTAAAGAGACAGTCAGTTTCTCGTTGCTCTCGCGTCTCTATTTGATGTTGTCGTCTCTATGTGATATTGTCAATAATGGTTGCCAGAAGTAAAGAAAATGAATGAGGAGTAGTTTAAAAGGGCTTGCTCGACTTAGATTTTGTCAAGATTTAGAGAGGTGACTCTATGTTCCAAATCTTTGATGTAACTTTCATTAATATAGTGGATTTCAATTTACCGTCCCCGTGGATGTAGTCCTTATAGGTGAACTACGTAAATCCTTGTATTCTTGTGCTATGTGTTTCATATTTTATTTCTCGTATTTCATTTGCCAAAAATCAACCCATTATGTTTAGAGCTTCCGTACACAACAGGGAATGCTTAAAAGGATATGGATAGAAGTAGTGAAAAATGATATGGTGATTTATGGTCTTACTGATGTTATAATCTTTAATGGGGCAGAATTGTAAAATGTGATTTGTGTAGTTGCCTCAAATAGTTGGGATAAAACAAAGATAATGATGATGATGATGATGACGATATCCCTTTTTCCGCTTAAGCAAGTATAATTGCTATTTTCCACCATTTTCTAAATAAAAATGGATACTTTTGGTACCAAACATACGAGTATTTTTGGAATGGTGTGGTAATTATCAAGCCATTTGCCCGCCTTCAAAAAATTCAACGTGTGGATATCATCATCAATAGGTAGCTTCGAGTGTATAATGTATGATATTTGTTTCACATGGTTTAAAAGAACATTTTATAAGTACCGGATATCTTTAATGTATGTGTTTTAGAATAAGAGCTTTTGTAATCTTGAATGAGTTAGCAGTTTGTAGTTATTTTAAGGTGATGGATGTTACAACACGACTTCTTAAATTCCATTTTTATAAGACTATTTCCCGACTGAACTATCAAGAAAAGAAAAAAAAAAAATTTCTTTCCATGCTATCTTGAGTGATATTCTCAAAAAATTTATCAAAATACACTTGAAAGCCAAACAATTTAACATTCTACCTTTATCTGTTTTGGTAATTTTTTTGATAAATTTCAAAGCGCTTTTTGATGTGTTATTTGATAGGGCATTTAGCATTTGACCAAAAGAGTAATGAATTATTTAAAATTAAATGAAAAATATGAGTAAGACTTTAAATAAATAGAAATGTATACAATAAAACCATTTATTTTTTGATATAGGGAGGTCACAATCATCATTGATCATTAGATTTAAAATTACATGGTTGAAGGTGTGTCATTGTTTTGGGCACAAAATCCAAAAAAATTTTTATTGAATGTTGTAACATACTTTCATTTAGTGAATTTCACGCCCAATGGCTAAAACTGATTGTGACCACCTTGTACCAAAAATAAATCACCACATAGTATACAATCTTTAAATTAATAAGTACACGATAATTTTTTCGTTCTACTTGTATGTCTCTATCTTGCCATCTCATGTGATGCTTAATTATTTTTTATAATAGGGTCAAATCTACACCGTCTAAATAAATTTTACAAGGAATATAACATCCTTATATAAACTTTTTCCACCCCTTAAAATCTCTCTTTAAACTCTTGTTCATATGAATTTTTTTATCTAAATCCACTGCCAAGTAATAAAAGAAGTCATGCCCCTCTCCCAATAAACTAGAGTAAAAATGGAGATGAGAAAAATAAGAATAAAGAAAATAAACTTTAAAATATATTTGACAAAATTAGCCCTAATGAGTGAAAAGATGAACTCTTTCAGGAATAGGAATTTCATTCAAAATAACTAGATACTTTTTTATCAACAAAATAGATACCGATACTAGAAAAAAAAAAATGAACAATATTTTGGATTTTTTTTAAAGCATAAAATAACAAAAAAATTAATTATGAGAGATAAAATAATTTTCTAAATAGTATCAAGTGACCTTAAAAATAACTGACAAACAAAAATATATCAGTATTTATTTAGATCAATTTTTTAATATCTATGACATTGAGCTTAAGAAAGTTGCACGTCTATTTCCACTTAAAATTTGTCCCCTTTATTTTTTAGCTTTATTTTAATAAAAATAGACTAAATCGGAGAAAAAAACTGAAAACTTAAACTAATTAGAAAATAATTAAATAATGTAAGTTACAAAAAAAATAGAAATTCCAATAAAAAAAAGTTACTTGATATCTTTCCTCTACAAAATAAGTTTCCATGTTATAAAATTGAAATTTTAAAGAAATACATTAAATTTGAAAAATCAAATAAGAACTAAAATACAAAGAATTATATGTAATACTAAATAACTTAGACAATTTTTTAGAATTCTACTAATGTTTAACTGAAGATAAATATTTTAAAATTATTTATCATCTAATTCTCTCATCCATATTTCTTTTGAACGTTAGCACAAAGACCATTCGCTATTCATGTTGTATGAGAGATAAACCTTTCCTATGAAGGCTGATTGGCCACCAAGCTTGGCAATGGCAACCGCAACATTGGCGGGTGCACCACCTGGTGCCTTCACAAATGCAGGTGCGTCAGCCAATGACACCCCTGAGACCGTAGGCACAAAGTCGATTAACATCTCTCCAAATGTCACTATCCACTTTGATTTCTTCTCTTCAAACCTGGCCTCTGCATCCAAATAAAGGAGAGAAATATGAAAGTAAAAGCCCTGGGGGTGGCAATGGATCCGACAAGTCCAAGGACCCAACAGGTTGACCCGGGTATAGGTCCAAAATTTGGACTTGAAAGGTTAGGTCCGGGTCCAAAATCTGGACTTGAATACTGTTTGGGTCCTGATCCAGCTAGACCCGACCCGAATAATATATGGGTATTTATAAATGTTGCCAATTTGTTTGTTTCTTAAGAATTTTTAGTTATTACGTAAAATATAAGGAATGTGGATATATGTAGGGGAAAAGTTTACATAGAGCCGATGCTTTAAACAATCAAATTTGAACCTACCTAAACAATTTCACTAGAAAGAGGTTGTTTTGATGTCCAAATATATTCAAATTGATCATCTCGATATCAAGAAGTATGGATATATGTAATTTGAGGGGTATTCATAAATTATGTGGAATAGTGTAAATGTTGCCAATAGCATAGGGATATGATGTTAAAAAAAAGGGCCAAGAAAAAAAAAGAAAGAAAGAAATTGGCAATGGACCCGGACCCAAAAGATCGTGTCCAGGTCCAAAACTTGAACCCGAATACTATTTGGGTCCGGGTAAGCTACACCCAACCTAGATCCAACCCATTGCCAACCCTAATAAAAGGTATAAAATTATCCCCAAGAAGAGAGTATGAGTAAAAGATATAAAAGAGATAAAGAGG